TCAAAGCAAGGTAATAATTTGGTCCTCTTCTTTTCGAAACGTTCGTTTTAGTCCTCAGAATTTTGGTTTTAGTTCTCATTTGTTGCTAAATGAGGACCAAATTTTAAGCAGTGTTTAGTTTTCGAGGACTAAAACGAACGTTTCGAAAAGAATTGAAGATCAAAATTGTGTACCTTACTTTGAAAGAGGGACGAAAACCAGAAACGATCAATAGTTTAGGGACTAAAAACATATTTAATCCAATAAAGTTTCAAGTCGGGACATTAAAAAAATTAGAATTGGTAAAATAATTTAAAGTTGTCTTCAATAAAGATGAAATTAATTAATAACAAATTAGATATTATAAAATGTATACAAAAAGTTAGTCAAACAAAATAATAATAATTAAAAAAATAAAATAAAAGTAAATAAAATAAATAAAAGATTAAATAATAAAATGATAATAAAATGTTAAAATAACAATTGGCATAATCCAAAACAGCTTGCAATGTTTTCATTTTTTATTAAAGATTAATAATTATCTTTATGAATTGCTTTAGTTTATTTGTGCTTTTGCAAATATCCTTCCTAGTCTTATTTTATGATTGATCACACTTTGAAACTGAATTACTTTGTAAGCTAAGCTACAAACCTGCCATAGTAAAGCTCGACGAGAAGAGAATTACTGATTTATTTTCGAAATTTCTTACTGTAAATACGAATTATTAACGTTTTAGCATGCTCTATTTCTTTTAATATATTTTTATTTATTGAACTTAAAAAGTCATCAATTTAATGATTGTAAAACTTCTACTTTCTGGTGGTTTTTATTAGTTTTAATAAAGTTGGGTTAAATATGTTGGTTTTTATTAGTTTTAATAAAGTTGGGATAAATATGTTTTTAGTCCTTAAACTATTGGCCGTTTTTGGTTTTCGTCCCTCTTTCAAAGCAAGGTATAATTTGGTCCTCATTCTTTTCGAAACGTTCGTTTTAGTCCTCAGAATTTTGGTTTTAGTTCTCATTTGTTGCTAAATGAGGACCAAATTTTTAAGCAGTGTTTAGTTTTCGAGGACTAAAACGAACGTTTCGAAAAGAATGAAGATCAAATTGTACCTTACTTTGAAAGAGGGACGAAAACCAGAAACGATCAATAGTTTAGGGACTAAAAACATATTTAATCCAATAAAGTTTCAAGTCGGGACATTAAAAAAATTAGAATTGGTAAAATAATTTAAAGTTGTCTTCAATAAAGATGAAATTAATTAATAACAAATTAGATATTATAAAATGTATACAAAAAGTTAGTCAAACAAAATAATAATAATTAAAAAAATAAAATAAAAGTAAATAAAATAAATAAAAGATTAAATAATAAAATGATAATAAAATGTTAAAATAACAATTGGCATAATCCAAAACAGCTTGCAATGTTTTCATTTTTTATTAAAGATTAATAATTATCTTTATGAATTGCTTTAGTTTATTTGTGCTTTTGCAAATATCCTTCCTAGTCTTATTTTATGATTGATCACACTTTGAAACTGAATTACTTTGTAAGCTAAGCTACAAACCTTTCTAACAAATCGATAGCTTCTAAAACTTTCACCCAAGTTTTCTCGTGTATCCAAGCACTAACAATTGGTTTCGTAGTTCATAATCCAACATCAGACATAACATCATTTACCTCCCCGGTTCGTAGTTCACAGTAATTTTAAACATTCAATGGGGATTCCGTGGATTATCCGATCGCCAGCCGCTTCCGGAGGACTAGGCTCCCGCTCTGAAGACCGGACGATCTCCTCTAGAAATGACGATGATACCGAACTCGGAGAAGCGCCGTGCCCGTCATCGCCCCTCGCCGAACTCCGCCCGACGACTCAGATGAAGATTCAATATGGACTGCAGCCATTTATTACCTGAGGGAAAAAGAATGCCAAACTTGAATGAGAGCGGAGAAAGTGAAAATGACAGCGTCCCCTCTCCCTATTTATAGAAAAACTTCTGAAACTGTCAAGCACATCAGCACCGTCGAAAACCACCACG